ATAACCAATCTTAGGTTCTATAGTAAAGTCGCAAGTTCCATGTTCAAACCCAAGAAATGAATACAACTCGCTAACTAACGTGCCAAATGGAACCCAAGTCAATTCACACTAACTTCGTACTCTTGAATACAGTCACTCTATATCTCAAAGTTGCCTCAGTCCGTACATTTAAAATTGGCTCACTCTTCTTGAAAGTCAAGAATTTAAAAACATAAGAAAAGTATTTAAAGTAATCAGAAATCTTATCAAGTTCAAGATTCACAATGTTAACCATAAGCTTGCCATTCTTTCAAAAATTCAGGATATATATATATATTTTCTTCGTGTAAAGCATGGACAATTTCAAGTGTGAGACTACACTAATATACAATCAAGGGGAAAACTTAGTTTAGAAATTGTTATCCTGGTATTAACCCATCATATACAAAATTCAACAACTCATCAGTTATTCACTAATTTTCAAGTTTGAAATTCAAGTAAAATTCACCTTTTTACCAAAATCAGGAAAATATACATATTTAAAGCATATATATCTTATTTCCACTCATCGCTTACAAATAAAACTAGTACATCCTAGTTTTTCTTCAAAACCCCAAAACAGAATTTCTTTAGAAGGTATGTGGGCGGAAAATGCATTTAAACACATTACACGTACACATAGCCCACATAACCAGGTTAAGCAATCATACGGAACAGTCAGTCAATTACATACGAAGTCATTGCATGAAACAATAGGGTCCTCAAAAGTACTTTGAACAACTAGGTCACAAGTGCAAAAGAACTCACGAAAAGCTTTTCCCCTTCTAGGGTTTCGTCCAAATATTTATATCTTAATCAAGGTCGATCACGCTTAACCATACCCGAACAAACCACACGAAGTTCCATAGAATCGCCTTTCTAGTTCACCAAATCCTTTCTAACCTAGGCCCTCATATCCTTCGTATTCGGGCGCAAGAATCTTGTCTAAGATAGTTCACATCTCGAGCCGGCCGGTCCCAAGAGTAAACCATCCTTATTAAAGATTCCTACCCGACATACATACCAAGCTTCCTCGAGTCCCATAATAATGATTCATACACTTATCACATGCCCGGTTCATAACTTACGCTCAAACGAGCACTTAGACATATTCATGAAATTAGGACCACAACACCCCTTGGCCCAGTCTCACTCCGCGTAGAGACCACGCGACGTGGCTCTGATACCACTTGTAACAGCCCCACTTTCCCCTAAGGCGAACCAAAGGGGTTAGCGGACTGCCTGCCCAGCTCTCGCCAGGACTACGGATCAGTTAACGTCGATCTAATGCGCTCCGGAGCTTACCAACGCGCGCAAATAGGTCAAAATCACAAAATAAAAAAAAACGAAAATCGAAGCCGCACAAATGGCACGGTATGAGCTAAAGCCCAGTGAGCAACTATCACACAAAAGCAGTCAAGATCACATAATCATAACCGTTCAGTTCAAATATGCAATTAAGAGATAAATCAAACCAGGGAAAGGATACGGTTGGCTCTCAAGAGCCCATTTCCACACTTGCAATCTTGATCCAACCTCATTGACCCTCCGTCAATGTTAAAAGTACCAAAACCGTAGACCTCACTTTACTTCCTTTCCTTCCACCAATCATACCCCAACCGGGCCCGCACTCCATTCAGTCACTTTTGGTAATACTCGAGTATACCGGAACCAAGAGTCTCATTATTACAAGGTTCCTCAGTACAGTCCCCGTGACAAGACAATTTTCACGACCAAGCCCTCGCCGGCTCGATCCAATTGACTACCAAACGGGGTTGAGCTCAGTGATACAGTAAAGCCGTTGGACATTCATCCAAACGACACCAAATCAGTTTCCATGAGTGGAATTCAGTATTTCATATAACCAGTACAGTATTTCAGTGAACAGTCATTAACCATGAATAAAATCACAAGGGGTGAGGGCGGTCAAGTACACCCTCACCTTAATCACTTCCAATAAGCAAATAAGCCTTCAAGGCATCAATTACACATATAACAAAGCCACATTGTAACAGTTAAGTGAGTAGTATACTCACAAATCAAATAAGTGCTATTTCATGCACTTCCGTCAGGGGAATGTCGTGAACCACCGTCACGCCCTAGAACAAGTAAACAAATGCAATGAGACTCGATAACGAGTCATATAGCAATGCCAATCACAACCCCAATAGGGTTTTATAAACATATACAAGTATGATAGCAAACCAGGAATTAAGAAAGGCCTTAAACTCAGGCCTTGGAAAGAAAACCGGATTCGACCTCATAATGCGGTAATGGTACAACTCTCACTACAATTATCGGATGGGGGTGTAAGACCCACCGCTTCGAAGCTATGGAACAGGGCTACAACAATGAAGAAGGTCACTCAATCCAGTTCCTAGCTTAACTAGGTCGAAAATGCCAAATACTATACCAGAATTACCAAAACAGGTTTGCAAATCACACAAAACTGTAATTACTATAACTTAGTCTATACAAGTCCAAATGCCGAAATTCCAAAGGCATATGTTAGCTAAGACATCCAGCTACATTTCATCAGAAGACACCAACAACTAAATCCAAACCAATTCCAGTCAAAATGGCCAATAACCAGTACAGTTTTCGCATTCTGTCTAAAGCAGAACAGCTACAGTAATTTCGTCATAACTCATTCCACATTAATCCAAATGACCTGAAATTTTACAGGCACCTCAAAAACATCAATACCTACAACTTTCATGTTTTGAGCAAAGTCAAATTCGGCCTCTAACCCTATGATCCAAAACCGGACAGAATTGGGGATTTAAGAACCCTAACTTTTCAGTTTTCATTCCAAATCCAAAATTGGTTGCATTTATCCACATTTCACATCCACTAGAGCCATTATAGTCCATTGCCAATCATCACAAACAACCACACCATCATAATCCAATTAAACCAGAAAAATCATCATAAAATGGAAAACTTCACCAAATCAATTCAAACCAAGATAAAAACCAGAAATTTCAGCACTTTAATCACTAATAAGCATAACTTAAGTATCATTAGATGTAGGAGGAAGATACACACACCACTCACCTAGTAACAAGAGAGGTAGAGGTGTTGGACACCTTAGCTCTTCCAAAAACTTCACCAAATCAACCACTAACACCAATTAGAAAGATTTTATGGAGTAGAAACTAGTTTAGTTGGTTGAGTTATGGATTGAAGCAAGAAGAAATCAAGACTTGAAGAGGTTTTCTTCCTCCCTTGAACTTGAGAGAGAGGGCCGGCCAACAAGAGAAGAAAAATTGTGAATTTTATGCAATTTTTGGATATTTAATCCTTTGGTCAAAAAAGTCAAAATTGTGAATAGTAAATCTTAAAGGAAAACCAATAACATGGTGACACTTGTCACTCTATTTAATGCATTCTTATCACTTCTTTTCTCTCTCACATCAATCACTTCACACACTCTACTTATCTCTTAACACCCGATAAAATTTACACAGTATCCGGAATTTAACCTAATTGGCCGAATTTTTCCGAACTTTTCGCACTAGTGGGTCCCACGTCCAATATATATTCTTAATTTTTTTAAAAACTCACCAATACTAGAAAAATCATCTAAAAACTATAATTGCTCATAAAATCAACCCAGAAAATGTTTCTAAGCCAGAAAATGCAAAAATTATGCAATTAAGGGAATTAAAACCCTAGGAAAATTTTTAGGGTATTTACGGGTTCTCACATGTCTCCTATTTTCTTTCAGAAATTTTGGCATGTGATCAGAAAGGACGTTATTTGTGCAATTCGTGGCTTTTTCCATTCTGGTCATATTCTTAAGTCTATCAATGAAACTTTGATTAGTCTTATTTCTAAAACAGACTGTCCCACTAAGATAACTGAGTATAGGCCTATAGTTTATGTAATGTCCTCTATAAGGTCATCTCAAAAGTGCTTTCTAACAGACTCAAAACTATTATGGATTGTTGTATTAGCCCCTCCCAGTCTGCTTTTGTTCCTGACAATCAGATCTTAGATAATGTTTTTATTACACATGAATGTATTCACTTCCTGAAAAACAAAAGAACTAAAAAGAATGGTTATATGACTGTTAAGTTAGATATGTCTAAGGCTTATAATGGGGTAGAGTGAATTTTTTTTTGGCAAAGATTATGCAGAAAATGGGCTTCTGTCCCAGATGGATCCAATGGATTATTGAGTGTCTTTCTAGCATCTCCTATTCTGTAAACATTAATGGGGAAAAGAGGGGGTTCTTTAAGCCATCCAGAGAACTAAGGCAGGAAGACCCTTTATCTCCATATCTATTTCTGATTTGTACTGAAAGTTTTTCTACTTTATTAAGGAAGGCCACTAGAAGGGGTACTCTATTTGGTATGAAAGTTGCTAATGATGCTCCTAGTATGTTGCATTTATTCTTTACAGATGATTCACTCATATTATGTGCAGCCAAGACTACTGATGTTATGCAGGTCATGAGGATTTTGGATGTCTGTAGGAAAGCTTCAGGACAGCTCATAAACAGGGAGAAGTCTTCAATATTTTTCAGCAAAAATGTAGAAGAAAGGCAGAAGGATGAAGTGTTGAATTCACCGGAAAAAATGCAGCAGGTGCAGTAGAGCAAATATTTGGGATTGCCCTTAGTCATTGGGAGATCAAAAAGGCAAGTATTTGATTTTATTAGACAGAGGATAGTCAACAGGCTAAAGGGATGGAAGAAAAAGCTTTTGAGCTAAGCTGGCAAGGAGGTTCTACTTAAGTCAGTCATTTTAGCTCTCTCTGCTTATGTTATGTCATGTTGCAGATTGCCAAAGGATTTAAATAGACACATTTGCTCAGAAATGGCTAGATTTTGATGGGGACAAAGGGAGGATGAAAGGAAGATACACCGGATTGGATGGAGTAGAATGACTGAAACTAAGTTAGAGGAGGGTCTTGGTTTTAGAGACCTGCAAGATTTTAACTTGGCATTACTAAGGAAGCAACTATGGAGGATCTAGATGAGACCAGACCTTTTGATGAGCAGAACAATGAAAGCCAGATATTTTTCAGGGAAGTTTGTGTGGGAGATAGGGCAGAAGGGCATTGACTCTTGGTGCAGGAAAAGCCTATTGATTGCTAGAGGGATGTTGGAGGAAGGGATGCGAATAAGGGTGGGAGATGGTGATCAGATTAAGGTGTGGGAGGACAGATGGCTACCTAATAATAAGGATGGGAGGATAAGATCAAAGAGGAATCCAGAGAGTAAAATTCAGAGGGTCAGTGAGTTGATTAAGGATGAAAAATGGGATCAAGAGCTGCTATTGTAGGAATTTAATGAACTGGATAGATTAAGCATAGCAAGGATCTCATTGAGTCTGGGCAAGAGACAAGATAAGGAATATTGGGCAAAGTCAAGTTTAGGTGGCTATATTGTAAAGTTTGGTTATAAACAAGTAAAGGAAATGAAAAGGGGGAACAAGTGTTTTAAAGGGAATCTGGAGTCAACTAGCACTAGGAGGTCGAAGTCTTGGAACTAGAACTTCCTTTGAGGTCTAAACGTGAAGAACAAGTTAAAACACTTCATTTGGAAATGTTTGCAGGGGATTTTACCAACCAATGTAGTGATGAGGGAGAAATGTGAGAAAGGGGGTCCTGGGTATAGGTGCTGTGGAGAAAGTGTAGAGACATTGAAGCATATGTTTTTCATGTGCAATAATGCTAGAGCAATTTGGAAAGCTGCTCCATTGAGTTGGAAGGGGTTGGAGGTGTTTAATAAGAGTTTTTGGCATTGGTGGGAAGAGCTTGGGGAGGCCATGGGTAGGGTAAATGGGAAAGAACACATAGCTCTTACTGTGATCATTCTATGGCAGATTTGGAAGGCCGGGAATGGCAAGCAATTCAATAATAAATGCATTGATCCAAGGATAGTAGTAGATAAGGCAGTGTTGGAGTGGAATGAGCATCAATTGGCCCAGGAAGCAGGGACAGTGGAAGAGGGTAATAGTGCAGGAAAGATGGGGGCTAACAGATGCTGGGTGAAACCACAAGATAATTGGATCAAGATCAATACGGATGCAGCCCTGAACATGAAGCGAGGCAAAGCTGGATGGGGCATTGTGGCAAGAGATAGGCATGGGAGGGTGATAAGATCCTGGGCATGCCCAACTACAAGCTGTGCAGATGCAAAAGTTGAGGAAGCCTTGGTGATCAGGGAGGCGATGAAGCTAGCCAGGAGAGAGGGATAGAGGAAGGTGGAGTTTGAATCGGATTGTAAATTGGTGGTAGACAAGATTAATGCGTATAAAGAAGAGAGTAGCATAGCTATTATACTGGCAGATATTCCTTCACAAGAAGGTTAAACAACTCTGTAAGTCATCAATTAGCAAAATTTGCTATAGATTTGATAGATATTACTGAATGGAAATGTGACTTCCCAGCATGGCTGCTAGAGCTAGCTCAAGCAGACTTGAAGGAGGATAGACTCTGACTTTGTACTGTTTTATGATTAATATGATGTTGCTGTTTTGCCAAAAAACCAAAAAACAAAAAAGTCATGCATTCTATTGAAATGTTTGATGATTCAACTTTGTATTTGCCCAAATTTCTACTTCCCATGACTAAACGCTACCCATGTTTCCTCCAATAGACGTTCATATACATATTTCTGTAGTCCATGTCAGGATGAAGTTGATTAGTTCTAATTCTTTGCACTCTGAAAAAATCATACAGTAAACCTATGTCAATTGATTTTTTTTCTTTCTAAATTCAGTTTTTGAGAACTAAATTTCATGAGATTTGAAAATAAACTTGCTTTTTGAAGTTCAATTTGGAGATAGCAAACTTTGCTAATCAAAATGTCTCAAAATTGTAGGGTGGTTTTCACTTTTTAGAAAAATCAATGTATTTAGACTTTAGGGGAAAGAAAGACCCATGGGAATTGCAAATAAGTTTCAATTAGACCCATATTTTAAATAAATATTAATGAATAATATTCCCAATTAGGCCCAATTCCCTATTTTACATATTCATCCCGGCCAAATAAAATTTAGGTATGGGAGCTCATTAGGCTTTGAGATTTTTTTGCCACCTCTACATTTTGTGTTGTATGATGCGAAATAGCAAATTCATATTGTGAACCTCCACAATGAGAAGAAAACATCCGTAAAATTACCAATTCATAAAATCTGAATAACGTAAAAGCATTTTCGACAAAAAAAAAAAGAATAACGTAAGCATCATGGCCATTAACATATCTTCAAGCATGTGATATGGATCTTGGGGTTTTACTTGAGACAAAATATGTGATATGGCTCCGTTTGGATTAGCTGTTTTTTGGGATATTTTTGAAAACTTTTAATGTAACAGAGTTTTTAGATTATATTTTGGGATATTTTTAAAAAATATTTTGAGATATTTAAGAATAGAAGAGTTTCTATAATATATTTTGAGATATTTTTTAAAATTTTTAAAAAAAATTAAACTAATTTTTAGATTACCTTTTAAAGTACTTTTTACATAACAATGTTTATTAAGAGATATGTGATATGCAAAAAAAAAAAATGTATCTTCTACATAAGAACTAGCAGTTGCCTTTTTGCATTCTCATCTGTTTTTTATAAACAAAGCAGTAAAGTACATAAATTCCACTCAACCATGTTTCCTTTTCTATTTGACAGATAAGCATTCCTCGTTGGAATGTATCATCTTAGTGTCTTTACATGTCAAATGCAAAAGGAATGGTGTATAAAGTTAAGAATAAATTTTATATATATTACCCGTATACACTGTTATTCTTAAATATATGACATATGTGCCCCGCTAATTTACAGAGGAATGATGTGTATCACCACTTTTTCTATTACCGCAATATCACTTCCTACAGGATTAACGATTTGTCAATTAGTTTTCTTTTCTAATTCTTATAGAGTAATGATGTCGTAATATTTTTATTGAACAAAAATAATTGGGTTAATCGCACTTTATTCCCTTTATGTATGAGTCATTTCTCAATTTATCCCCCAATGTTTGTTTTTCCACAGTTTACCCTAAAGAGTAACGGTCGACCCTAATGGAGATAAACAGAGTAATGAAAAAAAAAAGTAATACCTTTAAGAAAATAATGAACAACCCAAAATATCCATATCTCTAGGTTTATGAAAGGGATAAAGAAAAATTTTCAAAATTACCCTGGAATAATATAGGAGGGAAATTTCCCTCCATTTGGCACATGGGACAAAAAAAAAATTCGGAAGATAAAAGGTACAGAACCTTTTTAAATTGCGGGTTATCTTTTCTCTCTCCTCTATCAATCACTTTTCCCTTCATCTTTTCTCTCTCCTCTATCTATCCATGAAAAGTGCCTACATGCATACCGATTCTGAATAAAAAGAAAATTTAACTGTCTAAAACTCTTTTTAACTTATTTATGTATAGATGAAAATTAAAGACAATAATAACAGATTATTAATGAAAAATTCTTACATTGTAATTTGAGCTGCAGTAAAATCTTCTTGCCAGATTTTCAAGTGTCCAAGAGGTGCACAATGGTGCCTCTTTACCATATCTACACATTTTTTGGGGCGATTTTTCAATGTTATTTGAAACACTTTGTAACATTTTTATGATATTTTTGGTTGACAAAGAAAAATTTTAGGAGTTGTTGGATCTGTTGAAATGAAAGAAAAAAAATAGGCTGCAACTAGATGGAAACATGAAAGAGAAAAAATAGGCTAAAAAACATCAGACATCCCTTTTTATAACTCATTGAGGGACATTTTAGTCAGCAAAAACAAACAGCTCTCTTCCAATGGCAATTTCGACATCTTGAAGTTTTTAACGGTGCAATTGCTTAGCTGGACTGAAAGAAGAGATAGACTATGAAAAAACAAACGTTGGGGGGTAAATTAAGAAATGACTCATACTTAAAGGGGATAAAGTGCGATTAATCCAAAATAATTTTATTAAAATTTAAAATGCCATTTATTGTTTCCGAAATTACCTTAAACACTTCTTATCAAGCCTCAATTAAGGTTTGAAGTTTTCAGATTCCTTAATTAGTGCCCTGCTAATAACTTTCCTCCATTTTGCTGCACAAAGAGGCAAGGCCACCATCTTCTATTTTTTTTTTCCTAAAAACAATTTTCTGATACACAAATTTGCATCATGTGTGGGAAAAATCATATCTGTTGGATTTGAATTTTATCTTACCAACGATTGGTGGGATAAAACCCATGCCCAACAATATTATATTGTTTTTCACACACACACACACACACACACACATATATATATATATATATATATCCGGAGTGTGAAAAGTCGCAAAGAGAGCTAAGAATTTCAGACTTAATACAAGAGAAGTTCTATTTCTTAGTTGTGCAATTAGGTATGAATCGTTTATTAAACCATAATAGTTTTGCCTAATAGTAATCCATGGTGTTCTATATATTGTTAACAAAACACATGTTGTAAAAATGTATTCTATTGTACTACTGCACTCGTGCTTCTCTGGTTACACATTTTTTTGTATCAGACAAACGTCTCTAGGTAAACGGAGAAAAAAAAAAAAAAGAGACCTGGCCAAGTAGTGTAACAAAACAGAGGGAAGTCAAGTTATTAGCAGGGCACTAATTAAGTAATTTGTAAATTCCAAACCTTAATAAGGGTTACAGTGTTGATAGGAAGTATTTAAGGTGTGCAAGTTTGGAAACAAATAATGGGCATTTTAAATTTCAATAACATTATTCTTGTTCGATAAAAATAGTGCCATATCATTATTCTATAAGAATTAGAAAAGGAAACTAATTGCGAAATTATCAATCCATATAGGAAGTGATATTATGGTGATATTAAAAGCAGTGATGCATATCATTACTCGAAGTTAAAAGTGGAGCGCAGAAACTATTTTTTTCAAAATTTCATATTAGGCATAATATTATAAAGAATTTATTTTGTATATATTGACAATTTGTATACTAGCAAGTATGAATGCAAGCCAACTAATTTCAAATTGAATTTAAACTTCATTTTTTTGCGTATGTGTGATACATTTATAGTATTAGTGTGTACAAAATCCTATATTAATAATGGACAAAAGGGAAAAAAAAAATCTGTGAGGAACATGTAGGGTACTCTGAAATAGTAATTAACACTGCACAATTGACGGATTCCAGTTTGGAGGAGAAAAATTGGTCGAAGACACAAAATCTTCCGTTGCCGGGAATCGAACCCGGGTCTCCTGGGTGAAAGCCAGATATCCTAACCGCTGGACGACAACGGAAGTTGTGTTGCAGCACTACTTCAAATATTCAAATTGTGACTATTTCTCGCAAGATTAGCACTGAAAAGGATATTTAAGTTTATCACAATTGACTTACCAACAAGTCAACAACATGGATCTAGTTAATCACAATTGACCGAGGCTACTTTTAATTGTATCTAAATTTGAATTCAGGACTCCAGATTGGTTACCCAAAATTCTTTGAGTTGATACTTTACGAGAAGCACGCTATTTAAGTACTCCATTAATTTACCAATACTCTGACTCCGCTTTTTACCCATACAAAAACTGAGTGACATAAACAAATCATCAAGAGTTATGATTTGATTCGATAATTTAATTTAGGATCTCCTGGTTCCTTTTGATGATGTACACCAAAGAAAATCCTAAAGCCGTTTTTATTATTTGTGAAAAAGGAGAGAAACCAACAAAAAATGAGTTAGCATGATATGATGGCTGAAATCACTTTTTTTTTTTTTTTTTTTGGTTTGTTATCCAAGCAAGACTCTGAATCATACGAGGAGAAAGGCAACACTCTAAACTATATAGGGGAAAAAGAGAAAAGAGAGGGATAGAAAGTGAACCGGTGACATAAAAAATGATTATTGTTCCTATAGGAGAAGGCTAGAAAGTGAATCAGTGATATAAAATTTGATTAATGATCCTACAAGTTAAGTTAAATTTTGGAAAGAAATGATTGTCTTGATCGTTTCGAGGGCAAATGATTTCACAATTTCAATTGCATTACAGATAGGAGTGCAGATGAGGTTTGAGTTAAACACTTAGCAGGCGGGATAGTTTGCTATGGACAGTCCATGTTGATTATAGTGGCAGGCACGGTGGATCCTAGTTCTTGTCTTGTAAAAAGTCTAAAATGTGTCCTCCTTTTAAGCTACTTAAGGTGCCATTTGAATTGCTTTTTTTTTTGGAGTTTTAGTGTATATATATATATATATATATATATATTCTTGTCTTGTAAAAAGTCTAAAATGTATCCTCCTTTTAAGCTACTTAAGGTGCCATTTGAATTGCTTTTTTTGGAGTTTTAGTGTATATATATATATATATATATATTGTAATGATTTAATGTATGTGAGATACAAAGGTGATTGAAAAATGTGTTCATATGAAACATAAGAATTTTTTGATACAAAACTGTAATCCAAACACCACCTTTTATTTCTATAACATATATTTTTTTAAACTGTAATCCAAATATATTTTTATTTCTATAACATATATTTTTCTACCGGTGTGTTAACAAAATTAGCTTAATAGTTATATACTAACATTGTATATATTATTATCGTTAGATGCTTAACAATCAATTTGAATTTAAATTTGAAACAAAATTGAATTCAAATTTTAATTTAAATATATACATCATACATTCAATTATAATAGTGTACACATTATTATTATTAATGTACATAAGATCAAGGAGTTAATAACACTTTGCCCCTTGAACCAAGGGAGTAGTCACACTTTATCGCCTTCAACCTTAAATATGTGTATGTATATATTTATATATATTTTACACCCATGAAGACTAGTGAAAGTTAGAAATATATATATATATATATATATAAGTGAATGCAATGACATTATTACCTTTTTATTCATGAGCTTATCTGTAACTTAACATCATTTCCACTCATTGCTAAAAGATTTACATCTTCTCTATTATATCTACTAAAAAAAATATCAAACTAAAAAAAGTTAAAGTCAGTTAATATTTAGTTTATATCCTTGAAAATTTTTTTATTGGATTATTTTTCACTTTTATATATGTTTTATTCAATTTATTAGATTTTAAGTCAAACAAAATTGATAAATAACACAATACTAAAAATAAATACAATTGCTAACATTGAAAAAAAAAAGGCAATACTAAACTCATTTTTTAGAAGTATTTTATTATTTTAATTTATTTAAACTTTTAGACTAATATCATGGTCATTTTTATTTATCAAATTAGTCCAAGATTAAATTCACAATCAAATTTGATAAAAATGTCTCATATGCCTTATTTTTAAACTTAGAGAAGGAAAATGGAGATTAAACCAAATCTCATGTTTTTACATAGAAAAGGCAACAATAGTAAACTATAATATATCCATAAAAAATAAAAATAGTATTAGCCTAAAAGTTCACGTAAACTAAAATAATAAAAATCTATTTTTTTTAAACAAAAATCAAGTTTAGTATTACCTCGTTCTCAAAAACAAATCTGGTAATTATGTTTATTTTAGTATTATGTTATTTATCCTTTTTGTTTGATTTAAAGTATAATAAGTTTAGCAAAACATACACAAAAGTAAATATTAATCCAATAGAAAAAATCTTAAGGATATAAACTAAATATAATATTTTTCTTAGCTTTTTCTTGATATTGCTGTATAGTTGACCTGATAGAGAAGATATGTATTTTTTAACAATGAAAGGAAATAATATTAATTTATAGATAATTTGATGAATAAAAGGACAATAATGTCATCACACTCACTTTTTTTTTTTGCTAATTCTAACTTTGACTAATATTTATAGGGGGTAAAATGTATATATGTAAGGTTGAAGAAGGTAAAGTGTTACTACCTATTAAGTTCAAGGGGCAAAGTGTCATTAACCCTAAGAGTAGTTCTAACAAATATATATGTATTTCGTCTACCAGATATGTATTAGGTGCTTGGTTCTACTTCTAGTCTTCTACTACCGTCTAAAATAATCAGAACAGTCAAGACTTGGACATTTCCTCAAAAGAATGTGATACGAGCACGAGTGAGTCGGATCATAAACTGCCACTCGGCCACTAACTTCCCATTTGCATAGTTATTTTTTGAAGTTTTTGTTAAAAAAAATTATATTAAAATAATTTAATATATATGAGATAAATATATATTCAAGAAAAACGTAAAATTATTTTGTAGAAAAATTTCTTTCCAAGTTCCAATCTTCATCGTGGTCGTAGTTGGATTCTTTAATCAACAACACTAATACGCTCTGTTGTCAATACGTTATTAGCACAAGTGTAATTTTCCTTAGTACAAGTGTGTTTCTCTTCTTTGTCGGCGTCTTGCCAGGTAAGGACGACTGCAGGTAGCAACCGGACCTACAACCATTTGGAAAGATTGACGGTTTATGATTTGGTTTAATACACACACATATATATATATATAATTATATATATAATAGGTTTAAATTACATCTTGTACATTAATTTTATTTTAACATCATATGTGAGATCACAAATTATGTTCTATATTTTAAGATTGCTGAAAGTGAGTTACATCTCGAATAGAGTTAGTTGCATCTTGTGTGTAACGCTCGCGCCCAATGGACTAGTCTAATAACCTTTCCGGTTGAAACTACGTGTTTAAAATGATTAACGCAAAGTTATTAATAAGGCGATGAACCAAGCATTATAAACCATTGCTTTTGCTTTTTCCTGATCGATGTGGAACATTTTACTATCTACACCTTTGGAATTTTGCGTTCTCGTAAATCCCATTGCAATCCAATTATGTCTGTAAATTTTAGAAGTGACCCCTATCAAATATGTCACTTAGTTTTTTGTGCTTTCTTGCATGGTGGAAATCATAATAATATTTGGCCCCAAACTCTTCTCATGCAGGTACCACGTGAGATTTGTTATGATACCATTTGTAATGTCTCGCGCCTAATGCACTAGCCTAATAACCTTTTGAAATGAAACCACCGATTGGAAATGGTTAATCCAAAATTATTAGTAACTTGATGGACTGGATGTTACAAACCATTGCTTTTTTTTTTTTTTTTTTCTGATCATTATGGGATATTTCACTCTTCCTACTTTTAGAACTTTGCGTCCCAAAACATGACACTTAATTTCGTAAGTCCTAGAAATCGAGATGCCCCTATCTTTTCACTTTTAGGACTTTACATCCTAAAAAGTACTATTTAATTACGTAAGTTTTAGAGATGAAGATGGCCCCATCAAATGTGACGCAGTTGGAATCATAATATTACTTGGCCCGAGAGTGACCCCATACAGAGATCACTCGAGATTTACTTTGATATCATTTATAATATTCCCAATGGAGTGATTCAATAACATTTTGAGTTGAAATTAGAGTTCAAAATAATTAAACAAATTTATTAATAATTCGATGGGTTGAGCATTATTATAAACAATTGATTTTCTTTTCTTGTTTTCCTGTCGATGTGAGACATGTCACTGTGGAAACGAAACAAAATTGGCCCGAACGACGGTTTTTTCAACTACAATTTGGCCCTAGTCCCTTGCCATGACACCTGATATGGCAAGACACCAATGAGATTGGTACAAATATCGTCTTTGTGGGTGACTTCCCAGGACGCAGTTGTTAAGGTTCGATTACGACTTAACGGGGCCGAACTACTTTTTCACTGTTGCCACTCGAAATTTATCTGTGGCCGTCCCCAGAAACTAATCCGTCACGGCTTTTAGCTAAGAAATGGAATCAAAACACAGAAACGCTGTTTGGATCGCTGTTTGCCACGTCTTCGGTAAGAAATCGATTCCTTCATATATAAAAATCACATCTATAAAAATCAACTGTAACTCAGTTACTTTGACTCGCCTAAAGTTTCCTGATTCTTTAGCCAAGGGATCAGATTCTTTATGAGCCGAACTCGGCGGTGCAGTACGATTTCCTTGCAGAGAAAGGACTATATTACAGAAGAGTAAAAAGTCGAGACTGCCTCGAAAATTCTGAGCTAGTAGTAGTGTACTTAGAGGTTAGAAAGGAATGAGTTCCGAGAGATATATATTGTTATTGATAAATCAAGTAAGGAGACAGGGAGACGTCTGGTAACAAAAATGGAGAAACTAGTTTCCCAAGATCTTTTATCATTCATCATTACTCTTTGTCCAGGCGAAGCAGAAAGCCAAGGGGGCCCCAGCCAGCACAAGACATAAACGTCCTGTCTTAACGTAAAAGAGGTCAGGTCCCCTCCAAAAATAGCGTAATCTCATTATCATGCATCAACAACAACATTTAAGTAGTATCTTAGAAACAAATACCGGTGGGTACTACTGACTTTTCAACAAAATTTACCCTTTCTTATAATTCTCCGTATTCTCTTGTATCTTAGAATTTTTTTTTTTTTTTTTTTTTGGGGCTCTCAACTTTTAGACATTTTTAGAAATCTAATGAGAAATTAATAAATTTCGTGTGTGCAGCGAATAGAATTCAAGCATTTATTATGGCAAGCAGTTGGGCGACTGTTCCACCAATCCGATTGAGACCCGCCCCTCCACGGAAAAGCTTAGTAAACTAGTGGTGGTGGACTTTTCCCTTCTTTTGGGTTGGGGGCGGTAACATTCCGTAAAGGTGGTACCATCTCATCGGGGGAATAAAACTAGCACAAGTTGCACTAAAGACAACCAAGAAAAGATGCGAGCACTGTACAAAGGACGCCCACCAGTCTCCCCTGCCTTTACTCACTCACGCCCTCTTCCTTTTTTCCATTCTTTCTTTTTTCTTCTTTGGCTTATAAACGAGTAAGGGTTTGGGGTTCCGAGGCCCAACCAGTTGCAGCAAATCTCTTTCACCCTTTTTATATATATATATTACACGCTAGCTAGCTAGCTAACACAGAGAGATTAGTCAACTGAACAGAAGATAGCAAAGCCAGAGGTCACTCGCATCATCAAACTACAAATCCACAAAAAGCAAGTAAATACAGAAGTTTTGACCCAGAAAAAAAAAAAAAGAAAAGTAAATACAGAAGTGGTAATAGCATAGAAATTACCAAGGACAGAAACGTAAAATTGCGCGACATGGAGACTTCTTAAAATGGGGCTGTTAAGGTTCGGCACAGCATTTGCTTTTTTGGAAACGGGGCAGGAGCCTGCTGCAGACAGTGCTGCACAAGAAAAAACAAAAATGGCAATAGTAAAGCAATTGTTGTGTATAAGCCGGGAATGGGATGATGCCCACTCCCCCCTTTAAAACCAACTATACATTAGCATTTAGCAGCAGTACTTTTTTGTCTGCAAAACCTTGTACCACTGCCATTATTAGTATTACTTTGGCAAAGTAAGACCGGACTAGATAAGGAAATTAAAGAGAAGATACGAAACCTTCCTCTGGTGTTTCCCGATTATATGTGCTTTACCTTCTCTTGTTGTTGCCTTCTAAGCTTAGCATTTTCCTCCATTAAACGTGCGACTTTAATCTCCAACTCGCTGGTGTAAGCCTGCTAATTAAGCATACCCCAGTTTAGAGCCTCCCCAAGTCCAACCCAAAGTTCAAACAATAAAATTGAATAGGCAAAGAAATACTCTACTACATCTACTACTTAATAAAGAATTTTTTTTTTTTTCCTTCTTCTTCTTCTTCTTCTTCTTCTCCTTCTTGATTCTGAGGCCAAAGCCAAGGTTAGGATTCTGTAAGAAATAAGATAATAAGTTAATGGATATCAACTTGAGATGATGCAATCCAACAAGGCCAACTTCAGCAACTAATCAATCAATGAACATCATGCCACTGCCAGGTATTCCCCATCATTGACATTTTTTCAAAAAAGACCTTGGTCTCGTTCTGATTAGCCCAACGGCCGTGAGCAGTGCTTAAGAACAAGCCGAAACAAGTTCGAAGAAGTCTTTCTACCCCTCTCCCACTTCCCCGTTTTACCAGAAAATCAAAACAGAAACAAAGCAAGTATCAAACGACGACTGCTAATTAATTAAGCAACTAAGCATGGCTATGTATGTGGTAAAAAAAAAAAATACTACAACTTGATGATGCTTTCAAGGCAAGGGACAACAAATGGATTAAGCTAACCTGTTTTCTAGCCCTGGACCTGGCAGCTGACTCTCTATTCTTGATCATACGCTTGTTCCGGTGACAAGTGTCTTCATCTTGAGATGCCCTTTTCTCAGGCAAGATAGAAAACTCGACGGTGGGAGGGTTCAAATTGGCATCGGCATCAAGATCATGGTCCAGAGGAAGAGAAAATGAAGAAGAGGGTGGTGGCCTCGTTGAGTTCAAGCTCAGAGTGATTGATGCAGTCGCCGCCGGAGCTGGCTGTCCCTGGGAGTGGGAACCAAAGGAGCCTCTGTCGATGCTTTCTAAAGAAGACTGGCGGCCAGGATGATGATGATGATGGCGACTAGTCGAGTCATACTGCGCCCTTGAAGGTCGGGACAAGAACTCCTGGAAAACAATACCCTCGAGGGCAGCAGCGGAGGAAGAGGTACTGGTGGGATGGTGGAGGAGAGCAGAGGGACAGATATCTTTCCAGACTTCTTCCATGGAATACTTACTGTTGCAGCTGCTGGGAGGGGCTGGGGCTGGGGCTATCGGAATGGGAGATGAGGTCGGAATAGAAGAAGATGACTTTGAGGTTGGAGCTGAGATTTGAACCGTGGTGTTAATGTTATCCTTCGTCTTGGTACTGGTTGTGCTACTACCGCGATTGTCCATCTTCTGATGATGACCGCATTCTATGTTGGAGACTATTCGCCAATTAACACAGAAAGAAGAAGAATACGGGGGCGGATGACAAGGGCCAATTAACAGTCCTATCACTGATTCACTGTACGTACGGAGAACTACACAAATGTTGTTTATACCCCTCAGCCAAAACCCCTGCCCCCCATCTGAGTCTACCTTACCCTTTTTTTTCTTTTTTTTTTTTTTAAATTTGAAGGAAGAGTCTACCACTCTTAAGTCTTACCTTACCTTGCATTCATTGGACTTTGTCTAAGGCTCTATAGTGGTTGTCGCATGTGATTATTGGTGGAGGACTATATCTATTACTATTCCATAAAGTCTATCACAATCATAGTTATTAAATCCGATCCGACAATTCAACCGACCAATCCGATGAATCGGTCATGAAACCAGGCCAGGTTCTTAAGAAGATCGTTTTTGTATTGAACCCGTTGGCTTTTCAACGGACCAGCGATTGAACTGATTAACTCGATTGAATCGGTCGATTTTATGAAAAACCCGATCTACGGAAAAATTTTGTAAACACTGCTAGAATGGAGATTCGAACGCGTGACCTCATGCAAAGAAGAAGACAACCATTATTAGTTACTTTGCTCTTATATTATATATTAGAGTCTTATTCTTATTTTATTTCCCCAAAACAAAATTTATTTGAAATCTTTTAATAACATTTTTATTATTCCCTGAACTCTATAAATTATGAAATTGACTTAAAAATAACATATTACACAAATCATTTTAATGGCAAATATTATTCTTAATAAACTTTTGCACTTAAAATTCATAAATAAACTAAATAATTACACTTAGATAAAATTTTATACTTGAAATTTGGTGGATTACTAATTAAATTTAGGTTGTTAATTCTTATAAAAATTAATGAATCTATAATAAATTAAAGTAACTGAATATTTATTATAGCATAAAAAATTATAAAATATAATATTTAAATATATATAATGACCCATTAATTGAACTAGTAACCCGTTGACCCACCTCCGTCGTCGAGTTCTTCCCCGGCCGGGTTTAATAACTATGATCACAATCAGCGCACTCATCTTATGGAGCCGAGTTTTTCACCGTGCAGTTAATACAATAGGCGGGCGGTAAGTTGTACTCACTACTATTTGCACCCGTCATTTATTTAGTTAAATTGGATTCTGTTTGCATCTGAAAAAACAGTAGTGAGTATATAGTTTGTGTGTGTGTCTATAGTATATACTGTATTATTAAATCAAACTTCCAAAATTTTAAACTGCAAATCTGACCAGTGGTAGAGATTTCAGCCAGACATCTTGCTCACTAGTTATAAAAGTAGGATATTTGGGCTTCGAATATTACTCACTTTCTTCTTATTACTACAACTCTATATAGAAACTCGTTTTCGGCTAGAGAGATGTCTAGATTAGGATGGAGATAGTAATTAGAGAGTAAACAGTCTCGATTATGGTCACTAAACAAGTCACCGAACTCCTCTTTCTAAGGACAAAAATGACATACAAGAGCAAAGTTTCAGGGAATAGAATCGTCACAAGATCCTGAAAATGAAATAAAACAATGATGACATACATCAAGCAGCAGGGTCTCGAGGCTTCTTTCTTTCAGTGGTGGTGGACGGCGGCAAAAGCCCTTTTGGTTGCCAATTGATCTTGGAGGCTTGAAAGAGGAATCTTTGGGTGAATCTTAGAGCTTGGACGACTGTTTTTGGTTATCTAAAAGTAGGACGGAATTTTGGGTGGTGGGGTTGACCGGGGGAAGGGTAGGAGGGGGCTGACTGGAGGTCCGGGACGTACGTGTCATTATGTTAAAGTTCTGATGTCATTATTTTGACCTGCGTGATTGTTATTATTATTATTTTTTGGGTTCAGAAAATTTTTAGAGTATTCACCCGCGCTTTCTCGAAAGTGCTTAGGTATATTACGTGAGGGACTTTGTCATCTCTGACACTTGAATATGACGAAAATATAACAACACTTTTGAAGAATTGAGTGTTTTTTTTTTTGGATAAAAATAAAAGAAAATTAAAAAAAAACTTTGGTAACCAAACAGTAGTAAGTAGTTACAATTTTAAATAGTTTAATAATTAGTAAACTTGTCTGTCATTTCATTTACTCTTGGAGTCAAGACTCAAGTTGCTGCATATCAAAACGTTCTTCCGTTAGACTAGATGATGATTTAGTTTTCGTCAGGTTCCTTCGGTTTAGTTGAATCACTTCTTAGAATAGTCTTCTCCCAATAAAAGTGAGAATAGGTTAGATTAGATGTACCATAATGTTAAAAAAAAAAAACGTTCGTATGCTGCCATGACTGTTTGGAGAAATTCTAATAATGTGGAGCTGCTTAGAGAGATAAGTCATGCGTGCGGCTGATGGCGAACAGTTGGGATCCTCTATGTCATTATTCGGTGTCAAATTTAGTGTCAATTCCATTTATCACGTGATAGTAGAAGAAATTTAAATAAATAACACTTGACATAAATATAAAATTGACACTGAATTATTACTGAAAAAAGTGGCACTGAGATCCCGTGTGTGTGGATGGCGAAGGGAACGTTGGAAGCCCAGCGGACGATGCGGGCTTTTAAACCTATGCAGCAAATTTTGGGTGAAACTGAAAGGGATGGGCTTTTGCTCTCTTTGATTTGACTTTTGAAACAACCGTATGTACTAACCATGGTCAATTAGTCACTGGTAAAACAAACAGTGCCCAGCATTAACTGGTAAGAAGCTACACAGATATGATACGGTCTACAAGTGGGACAGAGTCTATCTAACTTTTTGCCTTTATATATATATATAAGAGACTGTAGACATTATAAATAGGAAAATAGAGGAAAGGAGAAAGTATGCCCTTGTGGGGTTTGCCATCCCACATCGGTTCTGGGGGGGGTTTGGGTTTGGTTTATAAGTCCCTGGAAGGACCTCAAGAGTTGCCGGCTTTTGAGGTTTCTTTTGGGATTAGGTTTATAAAAAGCCGAATTTCTAGACTTCAGTTTAGAAAAGGTCAAGAGGCAAATTCATGCAAGGGTAGTTTACTGAGTGTCGTGAGGGGTCTTTACTTCTTAGCAGCAGCGGCCTTACTGGCTTGCCCTTGTGGGGTTTGCCATCCCACATCGGTTCTGGGGGGGGGTTTGGGTTTGGTTTATAAGTCCCTGGAAGGACCTCAAGAGTTGCCGGCTTTTGAGGTTTCTTCTGGGATTAGGTTTATAAAAAGCCGAATTTCTAGACTTCAGTTTAGAAAAGGTCAAGAGGAAAGGAGAAAGTATGAGACTGGAATTGAGGAGTTATTACCATCACCTACTCAATGCTCTATCAGTTCGACATGTGGGACAGTATATAGTTTTACATCATGCATCAAGGATCTCAGCATATGGAAGACACAATTATTTGGAGGCAACAGGAAAGTAATGAATTTGTAACTACATAACATCTTTATAATGAAAACGTAAAAAGACTATTTAACTGTGATAAATGTATTCGATTGATTGATATTTCCTTGCACCACTTACCAGCGGCGGGAGGCCGTCAAGGCGGAGCCAGTTACCCACCGCAGCGTCGCCCGCCCAATTCATGGACTTTCGTCCGCGGCTCCGGTTAAGGATTCCTTTTCTTTTATGTGTACGGTGTGTACCCACTCATCCGTCCTTTTTCTGATTACTTAGCAGTCATGGCTTCGAGTGGAAAGGCGTTGGGAGAACGAAAATGAGAGAATGGATTTCAAATCACTTGTACGTTGGGAGGATAGGATTGCAAATTCGCCATTTTGAACAATTCAAGCACATTTCATGGTCAGGTAGATTTCAAACACAAATTCTTCATAATTATCCACATCAAATCCACCCAAATCCTTGAGACGTTTCACAGCCCTAACGTCACGTTTCCAGACGGACGTGCACGACGTAGGTCCAGCCAGAACAGAAGATGACGAAGAAATGTTCCTACTTCAAGCCAAAACGGTAGGTATTTCGAGCCTCAGAAAAATGATTAGGAGAAAAGTAAAACAAAATCACGACACAAGGCATGATTTAGAATACGCCCTGGAAATTGGAATATTTTACATTTTGCTGCTAAGCAGAAAAAAACATTTGGAAGAAGAAAAGGAGCCTAATGCTTTTTACTTCAGAGCTTCGAGTCACAGGAATTGAGCTGAAGCCCGTAGTACATCTAATGTTAAAGAAGACTGTTCTGTCGTCATCGGATAAAATTTATAGCGGCGCAAAGCCACCCATGGAGACGGCAATACCGCGACTACAATAGTGGATGAAGAGCATCATAAAACCTCAAAGCCACGTCATTACGTTCACATCAGTCGGCATATAATTTCGCAACACATGCAGCCCGAACAACACGGACGACTAACTCACTGACACTTGACGACAAGTCCAGAAATAGTAAAAGAGGGGTCCCCAAAAACTATAAATATAGATGGATGCCTCAAAGTATCTACATACTTATAAAAACATGCAAAATGAATGGAAAAAAATAAAACCTAAAGACTACCAAAAATAAAAAATAAAATAAAATAAAACCCAAGAGGAGAAAAAACTCAAGGTAAAATTCTCTAAGAGACCTCCAATTCTCGGGCAGAAATCTCAAGCAGCCTGACTTTTTCCTGTGCCAGCAATTGCTGACTATCTGACACTTCACAATCTCCACTCTGATCATGAAACCAAAAGTAACCAACAATAGTTCACCTCTAAAATTCTCTCAGAATGCAAACCAAACGCAAGTCACGGCATCATCAGCAGCAGAAAACCACCCGCATCCATATTGACAAAGCATCCAAACCTGATAATCCAATAATTCCATCCCCAGGCGACTATCCTCTCCCCACTTCCTTTTACTTCATTTCCAAATCAGCTACATATGCTACTTGTTCTCTAGAAGAAGCCAAAACTGCAAAATTGGGGTTCAATCAAGGACAGACTAAATATACTTCCCAGATTTCAGTAGACATAATTCCGAACAATTTGAGAACCATATGCACATAGTGCAACAACCTTGACTGAAGACAAAAAAAAACTTCCTTCACGGCATATTAGGTCATGTTCAGCATGAATGTAACTCCTCAGCAGTAACCTCTCCATTAGCCATTTTCAATGAGCCAGTTGATTCATCAGGCAAAGATGCATCTGGAGTCATCCCCGTTTCTGAACCTGTCAAGTCCGAACCACCT